CCAGCCCAGGTGGTTCTAGTTTGCAGTCAAACAATGTATAGACCATGCAAGTTTTCACTTAGCCATGCTTGACACAGCAGATTGAGTTCATAATATGTGACCCTGCATGGAGCAGTCTAACAGCTGGACATCAATCTATGTCGTTGTTAGTACACCCCTTTAGCCACCGCCACGTACTGTAATTGTTAAAGCTCTCTGCAATAACGAAGTATACGGTAACGCAAGCTTATTTAGAGTGACAATTGCTCATCCGATCAAATTGTTTAAATACATTGTGTATTCAGATCCACTTCCTATAAGTAGAAAGATCCTGAAAGTGTGAATTCATTTTTTTTTTTAGATTTCCGACCTTCAAAGCATTGTATATTGATAAAATGTGGGTTTGGTTTGGAACAAGAAGGACCCAGCATCCCAGCTTTGTTCAACTTTAGCCAAGGTCCTTTAGATTAGCACAGTGAAGGCAAGAATGGTAACAAAATACAATTGAATTTGTTAAATGATGCCTAAAAATCAACCTTGTCCCATGATGTAACAGAAACACAATAAGAACATTTAGAAATCCCATGCTTAGTTACAATAAACATCTCCGGGGCAATGACCAGCAGACAGGCAACTTACACCACGTACTCAACACCCCAATACAAACTATATATGTAGCCCAAGCCAAAGAAAAAAAAACGAACATTCCTAACAGTAGGATATGTGTTTGTTCGGAACCTTAAATAAGACTGAAAACCTTCCCCCAGACTCTGATCCTATCATATTTTGTGTGATCAACTTCCTCGTTCTTTTTTTGAATTATTGAGGACATTTGTGAAAACCATTATGAATTTAAAAATACGCTAGCTCCTGTTGAACAAAACATAAATAAGTTCACCTATACTGTCAAGTGACTCTGACCCAGTCAAAAAAAACAGCTTCAAATTGCTCAATAGACATGAAAACTACAGATCTAAATAAAATACCACAAAATATGAAAACAGGAAGGTGGCAGCTTTCATCACCAATGTCTATGTAAGTTGCTTAGCAACAACCCTGTAGATCTTTTATAGTAAACAAGAAATTAACATCCAAAACAATCTTGTTTTACTATCAGCAACAAATACTTCTAGTTTCAAAACAAAGTCATTAACAAAGCTAATTTGGAAAAGAGAGTTAGGAAAACAAGTCCATAACAAAATTCTTCAGAAACCTCCCAGGTTTCTTTGTTTTCATGCATTGCATGCTTTTATGCTTATTTGCATATTATGCAAGTTTTGTCATGCAAAAAGATTTGTTACTATCTTCAATTATCCATTTTATTTACTGTCCATTTTATGTCTTCCTCAATACTGTTCACAGATTGGAGAGGTTTTCCACGCTGTAAGTTTTCAGAATTTACAAGTGATTTTTTTTTTAACATGATCGAAGGACCTTCAACAGCACATATGTGAAAACAAAACAGTTGGCTTTTTCTTCGTTTAATGGCCTAATAATTTTTGTAACTTAAATCGATGAAACTCGTAAATTCAAACTTGTAGGTGTTCTCTCTGAGTTCACTCGCTGTCTCCGTCAAAGTCGAATAATTTTATGCCATCATAAAACCGGTGTCAATATCCTGAACATTCAAAGTTATCGCCAAAGACGAGCATACGCTATATTTAGTGAAGAAACAATTTGAATTTAATTGCAGTTGTGTAAAAGTCAGAAATTCAACTAAAACTCTCAAGCATACAAGAACAAAATGATTTCCTTTAGACCCAAAGGCTATATCTGCATATTTGGCAAGATTTAAATAAATTACTCATTAAATAATTAACGAGCACAACTGCCTGCCTCTAAGTTGTAGATAAAATGTCTCCTATATATATCTATCAGGCTCTATATTGAAAGAGATTACAATCAATGTTACGTACATTACAACTCAAAATATATCCAGAAGTATTATTTTGGTTCAAATTTGTGACATTTTGGTTCAAATTATTCACATAGTGCTGTAACAACATATTTTAGTTGGCCTGCACCAAACACATAGTTACTGGGTAGGAGTTGAAATAAAGGTTTTTGAAGGATAAAGGTGATCTTTTTAAGCCCAGCTTCAATTTCAAAAAAGAACCTGGAGAGTGGAAGTGTATACCCACAATCCAGGGTCCCTGTTCCTGCTTCATTAACAAAACATTGTTGCCTTAACTCCAAAACTATGTGAGAATTGAAACTCTTGAGTAAATTTACATTTGCTCCATGGTTGAGATATTCCCACTATGAAAGCAATGTTGAAATGGCTCAAAATATTTGTGAAGAAAAAAAAAGCGGAATTTGAACAAGAGTAAAAAAAAAAAGCTTGCAGCTGACCACAGCAAAATGTCTACATTATAAGCATTATGTGAGAGATATAATCCAGCAAATGCAACGCATGCCAGCACAACTGCATAAAGGCCACAAAGCAATGTCTTTGACAACGTTGTTTCCCTTGATATTTGCAAAGTCATATAGTGTTTGGTCAAGTTGAAATTTGATTACGCCTATTATATGGACAATATTTGTCCACTTTGGCAGCGTGACTCACGACACAAATAACCAGTTTCAACTACTTCATGAGAACACTACTGAACTAATGTTTAAAGTGCTAGCTAATCCGCATCCAGTCCATCAACTACAAAACTATAGCTATGTTTTTCTGTCATTCCCTACTTTCATTTCTTCCCCCCAGAGTGCTGCAAGAAGCAGGACTTCTGTAACACAAACTCCTTGTACGTTAACAGCAATTCCCATTACAAGCCTAAACTTGCAAAGACGAAATGCACACTAGCTCCTTTCAGGCGTATTTCTAAAGTGATTGGCAGATTGAGGTCTGGCAGCAAGGTCTCACAGCATGGTGCTGACTGACTGGCTAAGTGACAAACTATTGGCAGATATAAACTGGGATGGCACCTTGTCATCACCTCTAATTCCTTACTCACTCAGTGCAATGAATAATAACTGTAAACGAATTGACATTTTGACATAGTTTACTAACTCACTAAATGGACATATTTAGAAGTGGAGGAAAAATGTACACGAAATGAAAGACGAGGAATTTCTATAGATAAACCTTCAAAGACATGCAGAGTATCCCGCAGAATGTAATATTTTGGTTATGGTAGGTATGTATGGTAATTGGCAAGTCATTTTAATGGTAAATAGTTTTTTCATTACTCTGCAATTACGAATTTAGCATGAGATCTATGCGACTCTGAGATAAATATTCAGGTTGCTAGTCATCGCACACATCAGTTTGACAGTTGAAGGGGCACAACTTTGAAATTTCACTCATTTGTAATAAAGTCCAGGTAAACTAGCAAAAAGTATTTTTCAAGTTGATTTTATTTTCTGACTTTACTTTCGCAAGCAAAAATATTGAAAATAAATTCCATAATAAATTAGCATTTTTACTCAAAACAACTTGTGTGCACAGAAATGTAAAGGCTCACATAAAATGTAGCAGAGAAATCAATTACAATATGAAACAGTCTATTTAAAATAAGAGCCTATTATTATTCATAAAGATAACCAAAATCAATACTTGTGCATGATAAACATTCCTGTGACATTACCTGCTTGAATCGCAATATTTAACCTCTGACTGGGGAAAATTCTGAACAGACGCCAAATACAATAAGTACCTCTATAAATGATTGCCTGGATACTGCGCATAATTTGTGGGCAAAGATTGAGGAGAGAAGAGAAAAATAAAAGCTGAAATTCTCAGACACAATTACATCATCTTTCTGTTTCATCTGACTCCTTCACTTAACTGAGTTAGTCAAACTGATCCCACCTGAGCTAGCCAAAGTAGAGGAGAAAAACAAAGTCAGATTCTTTGAAATCCATTTCACCATTTTTTTCTCTGTCAAATCAATTGTTGTAAATTAAAAAATTCCTTCAAAATAATATCCCCAAAATAGATCACTACAAGTTTCCGGAAGCTTGCCCACTGCGCAGACACACGATAGTTTCTTGTCAGACGTCATAGGGAGGGATGCAACTGCATTATGTCATGTGATGACCTGAACGCGACAAATGAACTGTTCAATCACTTCTTTATTCTGCATGATGTGGTAGCTGGCATCATCTGCTGGATGACAGCCCTATGTATTAAATATCAGCAGCTTCCGTATTAACGTCAAAAATATTCTATTCAATATTCTGTTCGTCTCCCAAGAGTTCTCGAAACAAGAAATGCGCACATCAGAATTTAGAAATAACTCAAGATTGAAATGTAACAGATTTTTTTCACTCACACTTATAAAAATGCAATTCATTGAAAAAATTTTTCTTCTAATTACTTGACCACATATTGATGATGACACGTATACCACATCATTGAGTTCTTGACTATCACTATGAAACCACGGCACACGTCAACTCAAAAGGTACAAAGGTTGTTGTAGGCGTATTGTCTATGTTATCAGTAAACATACACAACACAACCGGCACAAATGATAAATGCATCTTTCCCTAGGTACAGCTATGTTTGCAACAAACTTGCAGAATAGAAGTGGGTTAGGGCAGCAAGTGACAATTCAATGCTATCAACTTTAAATCTGTATTGAAGTTGTCACTGGGGTGTTTGGCAGCATTAATCAGACTGATCAGATCAGAGTTTTCACAGTGATATTTTGAGAAGGTAGACATATTCTTACTGTATGGGGAAAATATGACTTAGTGTAGTGGTTTTTGTTGTTGTTTTTTTTTAAAGTAGTCAAACAAACGCACACTGAACATTGTACAGATACTAATGAAAAGCCTGGAGACCACTGCTGTCCATCAAGACCCAAAGGATTGTGATGGAGCACAGACCAACTGTTGGTCGTGAATATCTGAATTGCAGGGAAGCATAGGCATTAAATGGCCTGGACATTCCTACGATCAGGTGTGACATTACAAACAATATATCACTACAAATATTTCTGTGTAAGAGAAATTCTTTTGTACAAAAAAACCTGGCAAGGTATTGCCACAAATAAATTTGTCGCGCACACACTAAGCGAAGAAGTTGCCTGGGTATGGACATGGCCACAGGGAGCAATAAATTAATTACTTAAGCTCACTGCTAACACACTAACGACATTTTTACCATGCACCTGCATTCTGCATATCAAATTCATTATGATATGATGAAAATAAATGAATGAAATACGAGACTACATCAGATTTTGTTTCTGCAATTTCTATTTTGATCTCTATGTAAAAATTAAAATGTGAACAATTTGTGTGAACTGTGACAACATGACGTGAATGGATTGCAATGGATGAGAGATAGGTCAAAGGCTTAATTAGCAGCAGGTATTATATTTCTTAACACTATTTTTAATCCGTTATACGCATCAACAGACAATTCGTCAGTGAAAAGAAAGTCAATTTTAGTGTTTGGCTAGTTTGCTGCAGGCCATGTCTGGACCATGTAGGCAGCGGCCTCGACCCCACAGGTTGTTACACAACTCAAGAAGCTATTCATCTCAATAATTTTTATATTGACATCTACAAATCAATAGTAATAAACCTACATTTGAATAAATTCTATGATGGAATGGGGTTAGGTACTGCGTTCAACCATGCCCAATGTACCAAATTTGGTTTTGCAAAGACGCAAATATCTTGCTGGTCTCCACACTATCTAACGAATATGCCAATTTTAGTTTGACTGTCGACAAAACAGTTGGAGACACAAACCCCACTGCATGACACTTAACAGTTGACTCCCCAGTTGCAGACCAGATTGAGACTCATCCATTTTGTAATGTGGGGGTGGCTAAGTGGCTTAGAGGGTGCTCACCTTGATATCTAGATGTACTACATTTCTTTCATGAAGGTACTGCACTGCTTCCAGGATCTGTTTGAGTAACCGCACTACGTCACGTTCTGTAAAACTTGTTTCTTCTTTTTCACAAACACAGTGACGATGTAATTCACCGCCGGCCGCTCTGCAGATAAAAAAAAAAACACAGAAAATAATCACCATGACAACCAAACATTTTGATGGGGTGTATTACTTTGTTCAAAGTGATGATAGACATGTTTATGTATACATAGGGTATATAAAACAAATACGATTTGTTTTTAAAAGCTTGAAAACCAACATACACTGCTGCAGTATTCATCTAAACAAAACAAATTATGGATGGATGGATAGAATGGAAGTTGAGTTCAGTTTAAACAAAAACAAAAGCCAGATACAACATGATTTATGTCAGACTGAGGAACAGAATAAAGATGAACGATATGAAAAAAATAAAGCTTACAATAGATACAAGTATGTGCACTAGGACTACGAATTCTAACAAAGACTCAGTAGTAACAAGGCTTGCATTACCTCATCTCTCAGGAATTCATACTGAACACAATGCCTTTACCCACAGAGCTACTGTACAATCTTGTTAAAATGTCATGTTCCAAACTTGTATTTACCCTTTTAAATGTCAATTGGTAAGACAGACCCTTATCTTGTGACAGCATAGTTACTTAGACTTATTGAATTTCATAGTTCTATTTATATTAGCAACAGGATGAAGTTTTTTCTTATCTTCCAATGCAGAACAGAAAATGTGTTTTAAGAGTTGTTTACTTGGTAAGTTCAAGAGACTATTCTGTTTTTGAGCTTAAATACAGTCAGATTAAAAGATGGAATGAGGACAGGCCATTTACATGCAAACACTTTGACGCACAAGGTGCCCTTTCACAGCAGTGGTTTTAGAAATGACAAACAATACCTAAGCAGTGACTTATTTGTAGTCCCACACACACACACATATACACACACACAACGGTATTGTTCATATTTCTTTTAAACTTCATTTTTACTTTAAGCAAGGAGTTCTTGCCGCGCACCATGGTTCAACTACATAGCAGCAGTGTTTCATCATGGAGACGCTAAGAAGCATTAGCCAATGGAATTACAATGTTAATTACTATGCAGTCAGTAGTAAACAAAGCAACCACATAGTTGGTCTATTACAGAGTAGTTTCTTGTAGTTGCTGGGGTGAATATTACTGTAATACGGTAAACAACCCAATCCATCTATTGTGTGCTCACTGTAGAAAAAAAAATCTTTGACAGTTGCCTTGAGGTTAAAGTTTTATTTTGTCTTTTTGCCAGTCAAGCAAGATAACTATGGGTGCACGTAACATTTATGCAAATTCACACACATCTAATCAAGCAATTTCATTATTCAAAGAACAGGATAAGTAATGTGCACGTAGCCCGATATATGAACAACAAGACATTTGTTAGAACTATTATATTATCCATGGATTTACCCAGGGACAGCAGAAGTGCTTTAGTAGTATTGTGGGTAGACATAAAAACATAAAGAACAAAGCCCTAGTTAGGGGGGGAGGTCTATTCTCTAGTTGTACTGAAAGCCATTTTAATGAAGAAAAGGCCAATAGAAAAAAAGTCATCAGGTCAGGTTGACCAGATTAAAAAGAAATCAAAGCTGATAAAGATGGAAATTGAACAAAGTACACAATCACGAAGGATAGAGGCCCAAGACTGTGAGAAACAACGTCACGAAGGGTAGAGGTGCACGTACGTGGGAAACAAAGTCATGAAGGATAGAGGCGCACGTACGAAGGAAATGTAGTCTTAGCGGAACACGTATGTAGGAAACATTCAATGTTTATAAATGCGATAAAACAGATACTTACAATTCCAGAACTAAAATCAGTTCGTGTCTTGTTTCATAAACTTCATGTAGCGATATAAGACGAGGATTGTTTTTTGAGATTTCTAAGATGGCAATTTCATGTAAGATTTCATTCCGACAGTCCTTCCCTCTCTTCCTCAATTTAAGAAATTTCGCTGCAAATTCTTTTCCTGTAAAATTTTCTGTGCATTTCTTGACAACTGAGTATTTGCCCCTGTAGATAAAATAATAAAAAGAAAACATGGTATAATTATAGTATTATATTTCAATTGTTCACTGTCCCAAAAAAAAAAAATAGGTTAAATAGCCATGACAGATTGGTATACTAGCAACTTATGAGGCAAAGTGTACCCGTGGGACTTGTCCTCTTCTTTCATCAGCTTGGCCTTAACTAACCATGTAATTACTTTCTATATAACACAAATAGGCACTATGATGGAAAGAACAAATTCCAATTTTAAGCTCTGTCTGAATAGGTGACACAAATGCTGGCCATTTATTATTATAATATCAAATTTTATGAATCACTATTAAATACAGCTGTATTAGCCCTCCGATACCCGACAGGCACTTGGCAATTTAGCATTTAATTATTCCTTATATTAGTCTATTATGAAAAACACATGAATACAACTATAAGGGCAAGTATCAGTTACAAAGTACAACAAGGACAAATATAGGCATACTTCTCATATTTTGGTTGTGTTTTAACATTACCAATTAAACTGAAGTCAGCTGGTAATTGGATAAAATATTCTGAATTCCTGGGACATTTATATACACCAGTAATTGAAGATTTTATAGAATTTCAAAGATTACGTAGGATTTAGATATATTGTACTCTGTGAGCTAGACAAATAAAACAAAATTGCTTACTGTGAACCTGTTGTCATTCACATTATCGGAGTAGAAGGAAATGTGAAACAGAACGAGGGCATAGGTGGCAAGCCATAAAAATAAAGGAATGAATTAATCTATAAAACAATAACTAATAAGGATTAGTCTTATCTTGAGCTAAACAGTGGTAGAGTTCAAAATAATTTTTTTTTGACCACTTCTTTCTGACAGCCACATCGGTTGTTTAGTTTTTAACAAGACAAAGTAAATCTGGGTTCCTGTTAGAATCATCTGAAATACTCAAAAAATAAGGAGGTGTGTTGAAAGTAATGAACTTTTAGTTTTTAAAAACAAAACAAATTTTATTATTTAGCCACAAAATCAGACCAAAATGCTGTTACTTAGTTTCTAAGCTAGCATATCCTAAACTAGCAGTTAATTTCTTCGTATTCAGTGTCAGTTAAAAAAATATGGGGGCCATTTTTAAAGAAATGGTTGCTTTTTTTCAGGAAAGACAATTCTGTGCATCATTTTTCACCAAAAAAAAGAGAGAAGAAAATGTTTTACTGAATATACTTGAAAGGGCTACATTTTTTGTTAGGCAACAGAAAGTACCTCAAGTGCCAGGACTGGAAATCATAAAGTGCCAGCAACAACGTAGCTGCACTATCCACCCCCACCATTGTACCTATGCAATTTGATAGCGGCCGCTGTCCACAACTTACAATACAACATAATTATGGTTCCTACTATAGCACAAGCTTTTCGCTATTCACAGTTTTACTAGGAGCAGTAGACCCCCTGAGCAGTTTCTTTTGAAAAACTATGTTTTCATAATTTGGTTCCCTAAAACTCTGGTATACTAAAAAGTGGTAACCATGGTTCAATGTTTGTCCCACAGAACGCCAACCTTGCCCCGCACAGCAAGGATTCTTAGAAGCAGGAAAAGCAGCGAGATGATGTCACCTGGTTTCGCCACGGATTGATACCTTCCCATTCTTGCGATTTACGGGGTAAACAATCAGACTGACGGAAAGGGATGGGTTATTTAAAGAGAAAAAACAGGAATAATTAGGTATACAATGGAATTAAACAATACAAGGGAAGTACATCTGTGCAAACCAAAATCGTGTAATTTTCTTATAATGTCTTCAAATAGAAGGAAGTAAATGTTGTAGTTCATTCAATATGGGTTTTATAACTGTTTTATAAGATAAAAAAAAGAGCCTCTGTGTTTTGTTATTGCGTGTACCTTCGTTTTTGAGACTTTGAGATAACTGTCTCGACAAAGTTGTAATACAAATGTGTTTGGTTTGATCTGGTTGGGGTAACCAAACACAGATAGGGAGAATACTTAAAGTTGAAGTACGGTACGCAAAAGGTTGTGGGAAAGGGAATTTCATAGTGGCAGTCAGAGGGTAATCAGTACTGAGAACCGTGGAAAAATATTGCAGCAAAACAAAAGATTTGGAATTTGATATTGAATTGTGAAATCAAATAAGCTGGGAACTCCGTAACACGAGTTCGTGAAAACAGTGGTGGAGTGAGGATACCTTTGAAACCAACCAACGGTGTTTTTGTGTATCGTCACCCAACACACGGTCTTACACAAAAGAAGAAGTTTTGTTTAGCACTCCGCGGGTATGGCTTCTCACAGAAAACAAAGTGGCTCTAAAATGCGTGCGTTATTTTCTTGGTTGAAATTTCGTAAGTCCGGGATGTTAACAAGTGAGTGTCCTAGTCAACTGTTCGTTGTGAAATAACTAAAGCAGAAATGTCGAGAATTAGAAACGAAACCCTGAGTCATGGCAGTGGATCAGATCGACACACACGCACATTCCAACACAAAGTTTTGACAACAAACTCAATACTCATTTTACGTCGCATGTCACCAGTGTTTCCCGGCCAAACTATGCGAATACTACAAGGGCAAAGTGGCTTTGAGTGAGCCGCCACATTACACCATACCATTGAGGTGTCCAGTTTTGAAATTGGTATAAACGAGATCGTTAAAAGGTGAAACGAGGAAGACTATCTTACCTGCCGAGTTCACAACCAACTGTGTACAGCTCATGAAAATTGCCAGACTTGATCTTCCGCCTTTCAACTCCATCCAACAGCAACCCTGTCGGGGAGTTCATCTTTTTCTCTGATAAGGGCATCAAGGCTGTCTTCTTTCGACAACCGCGAGAAATGTATTAAATCCCAAATATAAACACAGCACAGATGAATATTATCGACAACTGCAATCCGGAGTCGACTGTTTGAAATAGAACTCAAACAACACAGTTAACGGCTTTGCCGCGAATATGTCTTCAAAATTATGTGGAAATCCAGCCGTTTTCTTGGCTTGGTCTTAACGTCTCCTATACGTATACTACAATCATTAAAGTTTCTAAATCGCGTGGATATCGAGGTAGCAACAACTGCAACCGTGTCAACTGTGGTCTCAACGTATCACTGACTTTACCGAAACTAAAGTCTGTGCAACATGTGAACTAAGTAGTCGATGGTACGGTTTCAAGGCCCCCGAAGCCGCCGAATAAATTATTGATAGAAAAAGTTAATAATATTAGAATTTCAGCCCAAATTACTATTGACCACGAATGTATGGTGTCCATCAAACATTTTCTCACGATTAATTTTTATTATGTGTGAATTGCCCCTAATTGTGGGGTGTCGTGAAACTGAATGACGTCATTTTTTAATTTATCCAATCAAACCGAAGGTGTCTATATCCCGACATGCATCAGTAGAAGACGAACTTTCACTAGCTCGAAAACAAGAAAACATTCCCTTTTCAGTACTAACATGCGTTAAATATATAAATTATTTTGCATTTGTTTGAAACGTGCTGGTGCATAGGTAGCATAAAAAAAAACAGTTATACAAAGTTCTAAAAACATTGGTTGTTTAACTTTCACTTCAACAATATGTTATTACATGTACTTCCCTTCTTGCCAGGGCTGCGTGCCAAATCTTAGCGGAGATGTCGCAGATTATAGGAATATTCTGTGATTTTTTGACTCATTATGTATTTGGTTAGAACACATTTGACTTATCCACCATATAATCATCGATAACGTTAACTATAAAAGGATTATAAATCAAGCCATATATCCAAATACCACCGGCATGCAGTATAACTTTGATTTGTCATCAAAGAGATAACGACTAGCCGCCGACAACGCGTGCTAGTGCTGAGCTGCAGTTCAATGGTGTCAACAAACTTAAGACAATATATGCCTTTCTATTGTCTTTGATCAAACAATGTATCGATTCCATTCATTGCTATCACACATTTATGTCTAATGGGTTTATAAATTGGACATCGACTAAGGTGTTATTACGTGTCAGTGTTCTCGATAGTGGTGCATGGTTAAAGTTACTAGGCCGAGGCACAGAGAGACTGTGGTCAAAGTGAAGCTGAAATACAGTAGCACACGAATTGCCAATGATTTTCTATTTAAACGATCCACGATTAATCTGTCATTGGCCATGTCATCATGGACACTAACTAAAAACGCGGCTACGTGTACTGATAAGCAAATTTTCCAGTAAACAGCGCCGGATTAACTTTAGAAATAAGTATATTATGTTTCTAAGGGTTGTTATAGTACAGGCGCAAGTAAATATAATATATTTGGAACATTTTTACAAATGTTTCTGTTCGTTGGATCTTGTAGTTTGTTGAGTTTGTTCAATCAATCGAATAGTCAATTACGAAATCTATTAATAATTGCATTGACACACCTCCCAGAATGTGGGAAAATGAATGATGGAAGGAAAAAGAAAAAAATAATATAGCTAGTTAGAGAAATTTTTTATGATTATATATTTAAATAAAAAAAATCACCATGGAACTAAAACTCTATAAAGAGTTATGAAATTCGATACGTGTCGGTGTTTTTTAAAATGAAACCTTTTATTCAAGGTTGTCACCTTGATGCGATGCCATATCACTGGTAACACCCCGAATGCCGTAAAACGTCACACATCATTGTTTCGCAAATAAGTTAACTGATCAATAAATCGATAATGTTATTGGCAAACATGCGCATATTCTTCGCGGTCTTGTCGAGTGAACATTCAATTATCTACTGTCCCGTATGCTGCGAGAGAATACTTTAGCGACACGGGGATTTGTGGGTAAATAGTAACAAATAATATTAAACATATTCTATTTATTAAGTATGGATGTATTAATTGAGCGTGATTCTCCTGTCACTTCTAATACTTTTCGTGATAATGGTGCAACCCTTCCCCCAATTTGCATCACCTTCTAAGTAAAATGGTATGTTCATTTTTTTCTCTGAAGTTAAAAAACAGTTTGAGTCACCACGGACCGGTTTTTTCTAGTATCCCTTTGAATGCTGCATACATTGAAATCAGAGCGTGGTAAATACAAAACGCAAATATTGCGCCTGAAACTTGACTCCGCTTAAAACGAATGTTTTACTTTTCAACTGCGACAAATACGTTTTGAACACAATGATGTAGTGTATGTAGTTTTGTACGGTGACTGACCTGCATCCGAATCGATATTCGCTTATCATTTGCATCTTTAACCAGGATTCCATCTCCTATGAACCGATCCGTAATCTTCGTAAATTCGGTAATGCAAATACAAACGACGTGACAAACCTATCACCGGCTATGGAGTCATGCGTACCTGCAAACCCCTGTTTTTAACTAAAATTCTAAATAGGAATGGAGGAATACGTCGACGAAAAGTGTGAAAAGCGAAGAAAGAAGGAAAAACAGAACGAGTGAAAGAAAAAAATCTTTATTTGCCACACACACTGTAGTGAACGTCAGATTTGAGCCACAAGTGTTCACAAGGAACATAAACGTGGCGACAACAGCAGCAACAACAACAACAACAAGCGCCATCATTAATACAATAGTGTTTATATCACAAACGCTTAGTTTATTACAACATAGGGTCATGGTGAACTCGCTCACTGAACTACAATGACTTTTACATTGACATCGATCAATGAATTACGCACTATTGGATGCCATATAAAGATTTATGCTACACTGCGTAATAATGCCTCGATGCCTGTAGGTACAGATTTGGTGAAATAGTGAATCCAGGAGTTTCTGTAAATTTAATGCTCAATTTTGTCAATTTTGCTAGGGCGAAAATCTTGTAAATAAGATTTTGTGTCAGAAGTGTCATAAATCATTTATTTTGTGACATGGCACCATTTTTTTGTTTATTTTAATCTAATACGAAATATTTCTAATACGAAATAATATTTGTCGGGAGAACAAGAATGATAAAAGAACTTCTTTGCACTATTTACAAAAAGTTTTTATCATTACAGAAACAAATAATAAATAAATAACTTTTTTCCGACAATGTTTGGCCCGTATTTTGCGTGGACAACATCATAAAACACAATCTGTATTACAATCACCTGTTTTAATTACAGCCACTGGAGCTACAAGTTTTTTTTTTTAAAAGAACAAATTCCATATAAATGGCGGAGGTATATTTTTTTCAGCGAGATGTTTTTAGTCGCAGAAGATACTACTTATAACTTGGATGAGGGTGTGTTAAGTCCACACAATTGACGGAATACTTGAGAGGACATACGTATCTTCTTGAGTTAACCAATATGTCATACATTGAATACGGCGTCCAGCATCACAGAAAAAAAATGAAGTTGAGTTTTTGTTTTGTTTATTGCATGAGGGAATTTCTTGGGCTTATTCGCAACACTTATAATAGTTGATTTCTTCTTTCGATAAGCTGAAAATAAACATCAATATAATCAAGAATAAATAAAGACAGACAGACAGGAAAACAAATTCAATAAAGATAATGGTAAGTTCTCCGGGCAAAAATAGTTATTACAATTTGGATATACTTATGTAATATCTCTAACAGCTGAAGTCATTACATAATATAATATGTCAAAACGAACAAAGAAATCATTACAGATGACAGTTGTAACACCATGTAACATTACCGAAATGAAACTCGTAATTACACGATGTGATATTACTCAAATGATGAATAAAGGGAAATACACAACGGTCTGCAAGTTATATTCCATCATGGTCTACATTGTTATACAAGTATCGTACATTGTAATATAATACGTTTTCATAACTAAACATAGCGGCAGTTTCGCTGTTCACGTTCCAATTACACATCTATACTACGCAGATTACAAGGAGCGCCTCCAAGGACTTCTTTACATACGTTCACCACAGACCGTTTTGCATTGTATGCGGTAACAATTACGTACCGCCCAGACGCAATTGATGCGTTAAGTTACAGTGTTATTTACTAACAATTCACGTAACTAATGAATACGTGAAAGTCTGCCACCCGCTTTCATAATTTTCACCAACTCTCAAGAAAGAGGGGCGAGAGGAAAAACTGAGCAAAGGTAGATCAGTGGATCTAAGTGTGGATGACTTTACGCACTCGCTATCCCCCGTGGCTTATGCGATCATTGAACTGTTTAGTATGGACAGGTTCCAACCCTGAAAAGGACAGCGATTATTTTTGAGCACGTTGTTGCCGTCACGGTCGGTATTTTGGTCAATGCTCTTACTCTTGTGGCAAAAGAAGATTGTGACCCTCTGATGTTTTCTGCGAACACAGACTACTGGCTTCGTCACAATGTGTGCATTCGGTTCGTAAAAGGCAATTGGTATGTTTACCACACGCATACTTTGTTTATCTTTCTCAAGCTTAAGAAAAATAGCCGTTTCACTTATTTCAGAACAGTTTATACTGCGTCGAGTGATTGATTGCTTAATCAAATAACCGATTCAACATTTGTACTCCTACAATAATACGACACTGTAGATGAGGCCGCCTGTAAAGAACTAATAAACCTGATGTGTGGAAAGACAACAAACAAACGCTACTTATAATGACGATGATTGACATGGGCACGTTTTCACAATATGTAACTTTTATATTTTTCTGAGATCGTTCGGAAACCAGAATGAATAAAATAAATAAACAAACAAACAAATAAATAACCAACCAATCAAACTAATAAACAAATAAACAAACAAACAAACAAATAAATAAATAAATAAATAAATAAATAAATAAATAAATAAATAAATTAATTAATTAATTAATTAATTAATTAATTAATTAATTAATAAATAAATAAATAAATAAATAAATAAATAAATAATAATTAATTAATTAATTAATTAATTAATTAATTAATTAATTAATTAATTACAAAACGGTCATAATTAAACGGTCATGATTAATTAATTAATTAATTAATTACTTAATATAAATAGTAGTGGTTTGGGTTATGGTATGGTTTAGTTTTAGGCGTTATTTTTTTTTAATTGCGTAGGTTTAACATTTTTTGGGGCTTGGTTTACATACCATCGTGGGGAGACTCATTTTGAAACCACTTCAGACATACTACGGGGCGTTGGTTACGCTTTAATTGTTTTCAGACACTTATGA